TTTGTCACTCAGCGAGCGCACCATCTCACTCAAGGAGTTTACTACATCATTCAACAATTTCGACTCATTGCCGTGCTCTTCCACCAACTCCTCTCTTTTTCGAGCACCAAGAGTTGGTTTTTCGCAATCACGGCAAAACCAATGAAGCAATTTAGATTTCTGGAGAAATGTGTACTCCTTAGAGCTCAACTTCGAACAGCTGATACAAATGAGATCTTCACATCGTTCACAGGTGACCGTCTGGACTTCGCTCAAAAAGACCTCTTTGCAGTACATGCAAACTTTCATCTCTAGCTGGGCTGATTTGGTTTTATTTTGTATTCTAGAGGCCGTAGGCGGCTTTCCTCTAGAGGCCGTTGAGGGCTTTTTGACTATCTTTTTTATTTTCTGTCCAGCCATTATTAAATGCACGAACTAGTTCTCTTGAACGGAGAAAAGGACGGAGAAAAATACAGAAAAGGACGGAGAAACATACAAACCTGAGTTGAGTTGAGTATAGTAAAGTTCCCTCGAAAATTCCGGCTGAGGAACAGCTGAGCTGCAGCTGGCGAGGGAAAGACAGACGTGTGGTGGGGGAATCATGGGATCGACCGTGAGGCGGGTGGAGAGGGGGAGGTGTAGGGGCCAAGAGGGTGGGAAGGGTATAGGTAGGCGAGGCCTGAGCGTACTCCTGAGCGTAGTTCTTATCAGCATGAAATTGTTGATGTTAGTTAGTTACTGTCCTCTTATTCTCATCATTAATTTTGGTTTCAAGCAGTTTCTTATCATATAAATAAATATCACGGTCCTGTTGATTAAATCATATTTTGTAATTTATTAACTGGCGATGAAGTTGATCTTCGGAATGTGTCATATGGAAATTTGACTAATTTTCTAGTTATTTTCTTCCATTATAATAACCGAATTTGATTTTAATTATTCTAATAAATTCACTAGTATCGAAATCATCGATATTTTTTTGGATTTTAACATTTTATTCCAAAAGTCTCATCATGCAGTATGACAAGACCGGCAGAAAGGAAGTTAGAATAATTTTTGTATATTAGGTACTTAATAATTATTACCGATTTTAAAATAATTGAATATCCTTCAATTCTCGAAGCGAGAGTTATGTGAGAATTATTCTGCAGTTTATTGGGAATTATTGTTAGAATTTGTTTTTAGCAAAACTTCTTTGTATTAACATTTTCTTACTTTGCCAGAAATTTGAAACAAGGAGATCCAAGTAAACGGAATTCCTAAATCGAAAGGATTATATTTACTGAGAAACGCCTATCAACGGTGCAAGTAGCTTTTACAACAATAAATAATAATAAATGCGCTGGTCAATATGAAATTAAGAAACCTAGAAGAAACCTCTTAGCTAGAATTTTTATAAGAAGAACAGAGTTTAATTAAATTTTTATAGATTTACCTCATTAAAAGCTTCAGCACCGAGTACACTTCGGAATATCTTGGCATTCCCCAGCCTGCGCGAGGCCTTAGAAGCTGCAAAAATTATGCATTACTCTGTTCAATAAAAAACACCGATAAAAATATGGCACATTTTTGTTAGATTAGATGCGCAAATCTCTCAATAACTGAAAAGAAATGTTCATTAAATAGTATATGATTTGATACTCTAACAAGCACCAGTGACTTCCTCGAGTGAGACAATAGGCTTGGTCAGGAAAAAAAGAAAAATGGGTGAAAAAATTTCTTCGTTTATGAGCAAGCTGTATTAATATATAATTAATACAGCCTAATAATTAATTAATTATTTAATTAATTAAGCTGCCCGTATTAATTAAGATTATTTATTTATAGGAAGGTTGAATTTATAATTTACTGGATTTTTTCCATTCATTTATTCGCGGCAAAACACTCGCATCATAATTAATAAACTGTTATAGAGTTTTGCACCTATATTGAGAAAAGGTTTCCGACAATTATAGTTTTTGAAAAAGAAGAGAGAGACTGGATTCAGACCAGACAGAAGAGACCATCAGTCATGCGAGATTGGCTGACATTTGGACAATCGCTCGCTATCTCATAAAGGATTATAACACCGCTCTATCGAGTGCTCAACGTATCATTTAATTGTTTCCCTCTCCTGCCGATCCGCCTTTATTGTGTGATACATTGCCATGAGATTTTTCCATCCCTGATAAGCAAAATCCTTGCGATTTCTGATCACCATTGTGCCTGAAGCTTAAAATCCTACTTCAGCAAGTGTGCGGTGACTATACATGTATATATATGTGACTATAAGTGTATACGGTGACTATGTATATATACGACGAGGTTAGACCATGCCTCAATTGACTGCCTGAACCCTTCTAGCGCCATCACCTGCTTTTAGTTATTATCAATACGTCTGGCTTAGGATTCAAGATTACATTTGCATTGAGTGAGCCATTGTAACTAAGTTAATTATTTGTGCAGAAAATTGGACGTTCTAAAGCTATCTAATACTCTACAAAGGAATAAGCTTGAAGAGGAAGGAATACCTGTCGTTCCAGGAGCTTCGACTAGAGACGTCATTGTGACGTAACATGTACCTCGTTAAGCTTGTGATACGTTAATGGAAAGTATAATTTAATTTGTGAACAGATCAATTTATCTACACCAAAGCAGATGGGTGTAAACTTCGAATAACTTGTTTTCCGATGTTTTTTCATTAAAATATTAAGTCATATTGTTTTCTTTATCACAATATATGACTTACAAAATATGAAAATACACGCGCAATGCACAGTAGACTTTTGATCACGATCAGTACATATGCTAGTGGTTCCCCGCTACAAAGCTGTTATCTTAACCCAACTGCTTATCTTTAAGTGTACCTTCACACCCAACGAAAAGTTTATTCATGGATTGGAATCGACTAAGTCTTTCTCCTCGTCTTTGAGTCATTTCTCACAGATTCGGGGTATTTGGGTAGCTTTTTTCGAAGTATTTACCGGTATACAAATGATGTGGCAATATTAATACAAAAATAAACGTTAGTATTTAAGTATCACTCTAAATTCCAGAAATATTTTGCTTAAAATGTCACCAAAGAATAAGATAGGCTAAAATTTATTTGGAAATGCATTGCTCTCGTTTACCTTTGATCATGAGCTCGACGTCATCAGGATGGCTGAGGCAGTTGGGATCTACGATTGGTGGATCGAAAGGATTTTTCGACCTAAGCGTGATCGAACCAACACTCTTGGGTCTGGCAAGCGTCGGGATCATGTAGTAGCCATCTCTTCCGTAGATTGGTCGAGTGTAATCTTGAACCTAGGAAAAACTTGTTAGTTTGCAACTAAATCTATGCAATCAGTTATATTTTATGATTCTGATGGTATAAAGCGATTTCTCCAGCGCTTCATCAGTAATAAATTTATTCGTTTCTTTTATGAATGAGTGTTGTTTTCTTTGACTTGGCAAACGTGCTTAATAGCACGTCTGCAATTTATTTATTCAGTAGGAACATATGTTCATAGAAAAAGTTATATTGCATAGGAAAAAATTAAAATAATATCAGCAAGAAACTGAATCACACGTGAATAACCGATTGCTTAAGTGGTTGAAAGCTGGCCAGGCCGTATAATTGACCCTCCAGCATGCATATCATGGCTATGTGCGTGTCAGGAACATGGGGCTCGTGAGGGCTGTCGATGTTCAGGTGATACAGCGCACACACTCCGAGCGGAGCTGTCAACGGACCTGTCAGCCCAACAACATTTTCATTATAGAAATAGTAATAGCAGTTTCAACGTTGATTAGGCCATTAGGCCTGTCGCCGAGTCTTAACATCACAGATCATTCACTGCTTGTTGTGGTCTCAAACACGCAACTCATTGCTTCGATTCTGCCCGGTCTCTTTGCCGATTCTGACCAGAAACTGGCGCACAGAGCTGAGATCGAACCCGCGCCTCTCTGCAACAATCCTGGTACCCTAAACTGTAACCACTGGGCCACCCTTTATTACTTCAGCATTATTGACCACCAAGTAATCTTAAATGATGATTGAAATGGATTGCAATGCATATGAAGCACACAGAGGGTATTATCCAGACGCCATTGGTCAGAGAGTTATTCCTTATCCTCGTATCTGTAATTTTCGAATGTTGGCAATAAATTATAAAAAACAGTTTATTTCAGTTTGCACGCTTTTCTCTCATGGAAAGTTCCATGGACCTAATAATGCGGAGTATACTTGAATCCCATGTTTTCAGTCCGCTCTTAAATTTTAATATGACTGATTAATATATGATTGAAAGGTATTCGCTAGCACAATAGAATTTAGTATTATTTATAAATTTAATAAATTATTCTATTAATGAAAATCGTATTATTTGATCAAAACTGTTAGGGAATGTCTTGACATCTAACCTCTTTGAATTCGTCTCTCACATCATTGAATTCCAGTGAATGATCCAAAATTTTCATGAGATAATTTTCAAGTTCTTAAATAGACCAGCAGTAATATTAGAACAAATAAACATATGCAATACTGCAAACAAATGGAATCGCTACTTTCCCGGATTATGTCATTTACCTGATCTCCTTTCTTGATAGTCCAGCATTGCTCTTTTACCAATCCTCGTAAAAATAGGAGTCGAGATGTTGGGGTTGATGGTCCAACTTATTCCCAGAACCATTACGTGATCTTGTAGGTTCTGTCCAACCCCCGGAAGGTCGACTCGAGTTTTAATCTGTTGGGGCAAATAATATTCGTATAAATGTTTCTAAAATCTTATATTACGCGAACATAGATACCGTTATTACGTTATCTTTTTTATAAAACTAGTGTAAAATACAGGAAAAAATGAAACAATGAAGTGTAAAGTTATTAATGTTACAAGAATGTCAAAGTAAGTTCAGAAGCGAGGCTTCAAACGAACAAATTTTTCAGGGTAGAAATGCAGATGGCACATCCTAAACAACATTTAAATTATTTTCAATTGAAATTTTGAAAAGTTATGGCCACCACGTAGCGAATTCACAAAAAATATCAGTCTTATGCCCTTAGAATTAGTGTGGCCAGATTATCAGAAATAAATCTAAGTAACCAATCATTACAGCACAAAAGTTTTCAAACCTGGGGTTGAGTCTCAATGGATGTTTCGATTGATAAAACATTCTAGATTATTCGAATCAAATTCATCTACATTAGTTACCCTATCATACTATCTTTTCACCATCGCCATCTCTTGGGATGAGATACTAATTAAATGAATCGTACGCATGCGCTGATGATCTGACTCAACCAGGATTCGTGTCAATTGTATGACCGGGTACGCACACAGTGAAAGCAGGTTGCCAGCGTGCTGGTTACCTGCTCAGGCTGGCGCCTGAAATCATAGGATACAGAAGCCTATTCGTACAGGTTTTCACTGTGAACACTAACATTATTATCCTATGTTCATTCTCGTGGCAGGTTGGAGCAGGTTGCCCGCGCGGGCAAACCTGCTTTTACTGTGTGCGTACCCTTAAAGTTCTTCAGTGGATGTCATAAAACTGAGATTCGCCTGTGAATATCACCTTCCATCTTCCGACAATCTAGATCAGAACTCGAAAAACGTGCTCAATATTCTATATCAAGTATGTTGGACACTTAAAATAAAATGATGATTCTGGGGAAAGGGATTCCATGAAATTTCGAAATTATTTATGTAGCAAATGCTTTTTCATTTCATAATGATTGCGAAAATAACACCGTACAATCGTCGCACTTTTATAAGCATATTCAAAATATTTATAACTACCTTATATAATAGAAGAAAAGCGTTTTAATATATAAGTATCCCAAAAGAACAGCATTACTCAGTTGCCATAGTAAATACGGTTAGCAAAAAGCGAAGCAATACTGCTCTTCTTTTTCCATATACTCAGATGTAAGCCTTGACATCTGAGTATATGTAAGCCTCCGTGACACCCTTGGCAACAAAGTCAAACCCCGTACTATACCGAACAACGGCTCCTGCAAAATAGCGAGAGTTCTCCCAGAGGCCGGTGTATTCCATAAATTTAACTTCAAAGAAGGTTGTGGATTTCTTCATGTTATGGATTACATTAGAGTTATTGGAGTAACAACTGCGACATTGAACTACCAATTCTCCTACCACCAGAGACAAGCACACAACCATACCAGGTCTCAAAGCATTATCAACAAGCAACTTCATCTCAAAATCGTCGATGAATTCGACAGGCTTCGTGACACCCTTGACAACAACGTCAAATTCCAAACTAAACGCAACAAAGGCCACTGCAAAACGCGGGTGTTATCCGAGAAGCCGGTGTAGTCTATAAATTTTTCTTCAAAGAAGGTTGTAGACTTTATGTTTTAGACACCATCGGACAAATTGGACTAACAATAAAGACACTGAGCCGCTGTCTCGTTAGCTACCTTCAAACCAGAGGGCAAGTGAACCACATGAGACAAGCTCACAACCAGACCGTCACTCGCATAATGCTGTAGGTACTCGCCAGCATCGTGATCAAGCAGTGGCCCGACAGCAACCGACCGGCGATAGCTGAACCCCTCATCTCTACAGCTTTGACTCCAGCTATCTATCTTCTAATTACAGGATATGTCTGAACTCTGGGAGAACTTTCCGAGTAAATCTTGGTTCAAAATTGTACTGTTGTATCCTATTTATATATATTATGTACTCACTGTATTTCCAGCGAAATTTCAATATTTAATGCTTCCTCTAATGTGAAAATGAATATTCGTTGCATTCGAAACGTCGATAATAAACAAAAACTACTTCCTGAAACTTGTCTGTCAATCTACCATCATCTGAGAATTGTTCCACTCTCTGATAATTTAAATCAACGAATTCTCTGGTCTTCAATCGTACATGTATAACAAGCAAATTCTGCCATCTAATACTAATTGTAGATGTGAGCCTGCATATTTTCGGAAACACGTATGTATATGATGTAAATAATTATATTAGGTTATAAAATGTGTAGTTAGGCTGAAGCTGCTTATAAATGCAAGCTTTGTCGAAGATCAGAAAGTAACTTTCATTATCAATTTTCATTTTTGTTTGCATTTTGTGAAATGAACTTCTATTTGGATTGGGAACTTCAAAGATTATTTTTCCAAGTGATATTTTATTTTATTTGTTCGAAGTTTCGATTACGACTTTTCGTGAACACTATATGAAGATGAACGCTGATTAAACAGTGCGATTTCAACACAGATAAGGCAGTGAGCTCTCAACACTGATAGGATAGAATAGAAGTGTCGGCACTGAAGAAATAGGCCCATGAACTGTTGCCGATTCTTGTACTTTTCGTGACAGTGCGATATTGATGTGAAATTTTTAATGTTTGCATATCTTCTCTTTTCAGGTGATAATTTAGTTGAATGAAGCTCCATTCTAGCAACCTTTGTTTAAGACCTATAGGACTTTCAGGCTCATTACAGATATCAACACTGATAAGGCAGTGCGATATCAGCACTAATGAGGTAGCGCGATATCAACACCAAAGAGACAGTGCGATACAAACACTGATAGGGCTTTCTCTAATTAAAAAATCTCATAGTACGAAAACTTTCATTTCGCTTCGTGTCAATTGAGAATGATATCGAGTCAGTTTACAACGTTCAGTAATCGCATATGTATTCAATTAAGAATCTTTAAGAAAGCGCGAAATTTTAAGCCGCGATAAATGCAGATCGAAGTAACAAAGTATATCTGTGTTATGTATTTACCCCGAGTTTTTCCAGATGTTCACGGGGTCCGATCC